GTTCATTTTTTTTCCAAATGTTATATGTGGCCTTGTTAAATGACGATCGAAACATTTGTGGATTTTTTTACATCGTTCCACAATTTTTACATCGTTTTAAGCTTATGTAATTTTAAAAAAAAATACAAAAATTTGAATGAAATCGATTCATTATTTTTTGAGTAATAAAATTTGAAAAGTAGTACTTAACTTATTAATTTATTTATTCTTAATTTATTTTATTTTTCATTTATTCGTTAATTTATTTTTCAAGAACTATTCCGCCGATTTCCTTCCAAGTTTTGAATTTCGTCATTTATTACGCAGATTAAATTATGAAGATTAAATTGGTGTAAAAATTTGTATACATTAGAATTCAAATTGCTCATAAATAAAATAATTAAAAATAATTTTTATACAGAATTATTTTTGTGTCAACAAGTTTTATAATTGTGATTATAAGATTTTTTTAATCGCTTCATTAGAATTTTATTTATCATATTGGGACTATATTTTCTAATGTGTCTTCCCCTCCCCATGTTTTCGGGGGTCAAGAATCCAAATCCGTTGAAAAAAAAGGTATGTTATTTACTCATAGAAAATACGTTTTTGAGTCTGGAGTTAATAAAGTATCGTCTGCACAGATTAATTTGCAAATTTAACGTTAGACCCTCGAACCACTAAAATTGTGCCCTAATCCGTGAAAATACGATTAATAAATCAAAAGTTATTTCGGGTGTTCACTTCCTTTTAACTTGCGCATTTTGTATGACTGCAAATCTAAAAATAGCTATTTAAAATTATAAAATTTCAAGGTACAGTCAGGGAGGTTTTTGTTCCGGACGTAGTTTAAAATGCCTATTTAGGAAAATAGACACAATTCGAAATGCGCATTTACGAAAATGGACTCAGCTCAAAATGAGTTTTTAAGAAAATGGACACAGCAAAAAATGCACCTTTCCAATGTTCAAGCCAACTTTAACAACTAAACGAGGTATTTCTTCGTAACTTTTCTTTACTTATTTAAATACTAAGCATAATCTTTAGGGAGCAAAGTCCTAAATTTCGGGGTGACACGGTATATAACAGTTGTTAATTTTCAAGTGATGTGTTCGTATTCGGAACCCTGAACGATAAAGTAAGTTTTAAAACTCTAAATTCCAACAACGTAAATTTACTACCACTATTATAAATTTATAGGACCCATAGCAACTTTGTAAAAATAACAGTTTACATTTAAAGTCTTCTTAAGAAAAGTCTATGCATCAAGGGATTTATCCAAATGGACGATATCACACTACAAATTATTTGGATTCTTAAGTTTATTCTTTAAAAGAAAAGAACAATAATATAAAAAGAAGTTTAAAAAACGGAGATTCTATATCCATTTTCTTAAACACGCATTTTTCGAGCTGTGTCCATTTTCGTAAGCACGCATTTTAACCTGTACATATTTGTAAACACGCATTTTGAGCTTTGTCCGGTGAGCTTGTAACTCCTTACACAACTTTTCAAGACGTAGATTAAA